CATCTTTTCCATATTGCTTGGCTCCCACACTAGCTCCAATCCCTTTGCCACATAACTCGTTACCTAGTCACAAAGAGAAGGAGATAACTGATTTAAACTCACGATTTATAAGGCTATGTTTAGTAAAACTAGCTGATAAGCTAGCTTATAGCTTACAAATGATTTTTAAGCTTATAGCTTATAGCTTATGACCTATAGTTAAAAAGCTAGTTTATATGATAAAAGTGCTTGGTAAGATTAGCTCATAAGCTAAGCAATAAAAATTTCAACGAGCTTATTTGAAAAGCTACCCAAAGACGCTTATGAGACAAGCTCGAGCTCTTTAAAAAAGCTCGTTCTACCGAACGAAGTTTATTTGAATACAGGAAGCTTATAAGCTAACTAAATAAGGTATAAGCTTAACTTATTTGGTTGCCAAACATAGACTAAGTATAAATCGATGACTGAAAACCCAAAAACAAGAATTTATAATTGTTGTACCGAATTCCCAAGAGTCAATGTGATATCCCTTGGAAAGAGTGTATGTAATGAAATCACGAGCATTGCTGGAATCCCAAACTCCTCCCCAAACATTGTCTTGAATATGGTGCCTCCCGTATAGAGCATTAAGCCCGAATGTTACAATAACTCTGCACAGCCCGAAAAATTGTCACCATAAATGCTAAATTTCTTCAGATTGTAACATACTAATCTTTCACATTGTGTATACACAGAATGACACAGAAACTGGAGCTTTACCCTGTCCTATTGAAAAATTTATTCAGTTCATCCCATCTTTCCATGTGCAAGCACCCTTTTGAAAAACCGAACAAACCAACCTTCTGCTTCTTAAATGGATGGCAAGTAGAGGTTGATTTCCCCACATTATATACCACTTGGTCTTGCAAAGAACCACCAACTCTAAGTCTCACCTTCTTGAAAGCTGTCGTGAAACTAAATGGAATAAGACATCACATATGAGGTACAATTTTGAGAAAAACAATAAAAAGAAAGGACAAAAACAGGAAAAACAAACCTGTAATAGCATTGTTAAGGAAAGGGTGAGACAAGTTCTGCAAAAAGAAACAAAATTCAAGATAACAATTAACAACCCACACATAAATGAAAACGGTTAAGGAAAAATAAATCATATAGTCCGTTAGCAAGATTTTCTTACGAGATTTATGGCTGATGATAAACCCCAAGGACATCTTTTGTAATTACACTTATCTTCCGGCCACCAATCGATAGTGACACAAATGTAAGGATCGTCCGTTTCGGCAATTTTGGTGCTTGTGTCGATGGTAATTTCCGCATCTTGGATTATTTGTGCGAAAATTGCAGGGAATATAGGAAAACAGACCAAAAGTAAAACCCGGAATACCACCATGGCCAATCGACTAAGCAGGCGAGAAAAAATGCAACTCGACCAACTCAAATCAACTAATACAGCAAAAAGAAAACGTGTATCAAGCACTTATCACTGGACTACTTCAATCAACATTCCCAATTGTTATTCCATTATTAACACAGTTTAATGATTCCCCCAAAAGAAACACCTTTTGTTTTATTTTCTCTTAAATTTAATGTCAATATGGTTTAACAGAACAACCAGCCAAACAGCCAGACGGGATAAATTTTCAATAGATCTCATATTTTTCAATAGAAATGGTTTACATCACCTGGGGCCTAACTGTATTTCGATTAGTATACATAAATTTTACATCTTTACCATTTTCTTTGAAATCTACGGCAAGAACATCAGTAGTGAAAGCAAAGCTAACCACAAAATTTTATAAAAACCAAACAATGATAACAATCTAACTAAACCCACCAACCAGCTTAGAAAAAAAACCCTCCAAAGATAACACTCGAAAGAATCATTAAAAATAGACAAAAAGCTCTGAGCTTTTTCACTGGGTCATGAATCAGAACAACATTTACCAAGAAAACGGATCTAAGTAGATGACTAACCTCAAAAGTTACAAATTTTCATTACAGGGTGAGGCCCAATTCCAGTGCAGCATCATAGACAACCAAAGTACAGTCTTTTCTTGGAAAAACAAAATACATTTCTTGATTGAGAAGACAATAATAGAAGAGAGCGGTTGAAGAATAATGGACTTATTGGGCCTTTTTTGTTTGTTAAACTTCTTCCTTTCTGGGTTAAGCATACAGCTCAAGGATTGGAAAGGTGATGCTTTATTATTATATAGGGTTAGTCTCAGATTTCTTGAACCAGGTGTGGAGAGATTCTGAGGTTTTGTGAAGAGAGATATAAAGCTTTTTTATAGTGGGGAAAAGGTCTATGGTGGTAAAGACGAGGTTTGATTTTCTAGTTTTTAGTTTTTTACTGAACAATTATTTGCTGGTAAGTGGTGTCCAGTTCAAAATTCCATGATTCAAAATGTGTGAGGAAAATGATTCTTGGGTCTAGAGATCATCATGGGATTCACGATGCCCTAATCCAGGCCATCCATGACCTGATTCAGAGAGATTGGTGTATTCGAGTCCTACACTTACACAGAGAAGTTAACTTTGCGGTTGATTGTATGACAACCCTAACGTTCTCCTCCCCGTTGGGCTTGCACCGTGTTCCTTCGCCTCCCTTAGGCCTGGGTGCATGGCTTGATCAGGATGCTATCGGGGTATCTATCCCCGACGTTTTCTAGCATAATCATCCTTTAGAATTTTGGTCTCCTCTTTTGTACCGAAAAAAAAAAGTGGATTAACCGCCCCTCGTTTCTTACTACTTGTCGCCTCTTTGGACAGTTTTATCCTTAATATTTTTTCTAGACAGTAAAAAAAAAAAAAAAATCTCCCGCCGGTTGGCCGCACCGTGCACGGCCAATTTTTCCAGTCGGCCGGCAGGAGATCTCTCTTTTTTTTTTTAAATCAAATTTTTATTTACTATATAAATTATGTTAGAATTTAGATATTTATTATGTTATATAATAGAATTTATTGTTTTATAGCTACAATTTAGAATTATTATATTATAAATTATAATTGATTATCTTATAAAATTTTATTATTTAATGTTAGAACTCATGAATTATTATGTTATATAAAATAATACTAATTATCTCTATCAAAATACTAATAAGCGATGTTATTAAAAATTGTAGTATCCCTTTTTTCTTAAATTCCCTCATTTTCAACTCGGTAATAAATTTTAAACTCCAAAATAATATTTCTACTTAAATCTGAAATTCATAAATACCAATTAAATAACAAATTGAATGGAAAAAGTCGGATTTTATTATAGCAATTCATGGAGATCGATTAATTCGGTATGATTCGACCGAATGTTATGACAAGATTGTTTGACACTTTTCTCAAAGTTATATGATTCTTGTGAACATTGAGTAGGAAAAACATTCAAGCTCATGTTTAATTTAAGTATTAATGAAAATATTTTGTCGTTGACTTTCATTCTCTAATGGACTTGTGTTTAATTGAATTAGTTTTATCAATTAGTGCCACAGATAAATTTAATTTCAATGCAGCAATTAAACCATTAATACTACTAGTATGCCACCAGCGTGTTGAGCGGCCTGATGTTAAAAATAATGTGAATTAATTATAATTTACATAAGAACTTTTATTGAAATAAACATTTATAGAGATAATGAAAGATAGAATAAAGTTTTTATTAATACATAAAATTACTTCCTTAAAATATAACATTAGTAGTAGATGAACAGTGTTCATTACCATCATCACCAGTATAAATGACAATTATAAGACAATGAGGATTCGTAATTCTAGAACCAATAACAACATATGATTGTTCGTGACTACTAAATAAAATATATATTTTTTTCGTAAAAGTTAAAAAATTAAATTCATTAAGCTGGGAAAAATATTTGTGTATACGATGAAAAATTTTATTTATCACCTTAGTGAGGCTCCTTTTTTTTTAATTTTTAATAAAAATGACTATATGATAACATAATATTCATTATATACAAAAAAGTAAAGTCATTATTACTATTATAAGGATATACTAACATAGGAATAATTAAAGTTGTTCTCTACACATATGAGCTAATTAAAATTAAGAAATATAAATAAAAAAGACTTAAGAACAAAACAAATGAACCAATTTCGTGTATTTTGTTCAAAATTAGATCCACATAATTTTTATTTTTTATTTTTTGACAAAATAAATCTCAACCTTTTTTTTGTTTTGTTTTTTTTTGGGTGCAATAGTGATTAGGGAATGACGTGCGAGATGAATTATTTTTCATAAAGTTACAAATAGGTCTAATAATCATTAATGTTGAAGTCCAAATTAAAATATTTATAGTTTACATGAAATCTATGAGAACTGTAATTTAATGTAATTTTTAGAAACATACGTTGACATAATTTTCTTAAAGTAAAACAAAAAAAGGC